TTGTGTACTGTTTTGAATTTTATTTGTCTCTGCTGTTGATGTGACTAACAGCTTCTTTTCTCATTAGGGTCCTTTTTCTAATCTGTTAAGGTTTGGAAGTCTATCAAACTTTATAACTCTGTGAAGTAGGAGTAAATAGAGTCTAGGTTTTGAGGGAAAGGAACTTTTGCTTACGTTATTGGTGACCTGTTTGCTTTCCCCTGAGTTGTTGAAGTTTGTGCTGGGTAGGCAAGTTGATAGCTGAGATAGAATGAGTCAAGGATTCAGTATTTCCTCAATGACCTCTGATATCATATGACTGAACATTTTCAAAAGCTGGTAAGAAAACTATACATTTTTCTTTTAAAATTTAGTTAAGTAAAAATGAGTTGATTTAAAGAAATACAGACAATCTTCACTATATAATAGTAGGACGACCATAAAAATGATTGTGCAAGCTGAAACCATGCAAAGTAATTTGTTTCTTTTTTTTTTTTATAGAGAGAATGCGTGCATGTGCACACATATAGAAGAGTTGGGGGAGGGGTAGAGGCAGAGAGTCTTTAGGAGACTCCTCCCTGAGTGTGGAGCCTGACACAAGCTTGATCTCAGAGCAGGATAATGACCTGCTCTGACACCAGGAGTTCAATGTGTAATGGCCTGAGCCATCCAGGCACCCCGAAAATCTTGAGCAGGCTCCGTGCCCAGCGCAGAGCCTATTGCGGGATTCATTCTCACCACCCTGACATCATGACCTGAGCTGAAATCAAGATTTGGATGCCTAGAGGCACCTGGTGGCTCAGTTGGTTAAGCGTTTGCCTTCGGCTCAGGTCATGATCCCCAGGGTCCTGTAATGGAACCCTGCATCGGGCTCCCTGCTCTACAGGGATCCTGCTTCTCCCTCTTCCTCTGCTGCTTCCCCTGCTTGTGCGCGCTCTCTCTCTCTCTGTCTGTCTCTTAAATAAATAAATAAATAAGTAAATAAAATCTTAAAAAAAAAAAAAGAATCTGATGCCTAACCGACTGAGGCACCCAGGTGCTCCTCATGCAAAGCAGTTTTAATCAGTGGGAAGATTACAGTGCTTTGGGGACCTTTAAAATATTTTGTTAAAACATTAAATCTTACTGTTAATTATACAAGTATAGAGAAATAAAATACTGTAACTGTTTAGTATGAGTTAAAACATTAGACACAATGAGAATTGTTTTCTTTGTGAAATATGAATCAAGAGTAGTTTAAACAGCCTTTCCCTTTGCATCTTTTCTATGCCTTAAAACAGTGTTTCCCTTTGCATCTTTTCTATGCCTCCTTGGCTTTTGACATTTTATCCTTTACAATTGAAATGTCATGAAATACCTCCAAGAGTTTCTTTTTTTCTTTTTTTAAAAGATTTTATTTATTTACTTTTGAGAGAGAGAGAGAGAGAGAGCATGAGTGGGATAAGGAGCAGAGGGAGAAGCAGGCTCCCTGCTGAGCAGGGAGCCATGTGGGGATTGATCCCAGGACCCTGGGACCATGACCTGAGCCAGAGGCAGACGCTTAACCAACTGAATCAGCCAGGCTTCCCTCCAAGAGTTTCTTTAATGTGAAGTATTTTCCTGGAGTTACTTTCTCTGGGACATTGTCATCCTTTCCATCACAGCTGCTTTCCGCATTGATAATTGATAAGTTTACCTTCACCAAGTTCCTCTGGCTGCACATTTAGAGGCACTCAAACTGCAGCAGTGTCAACACTGCCATGGCCAGCAATATTCTTCTATAACTTCATTTACAGTGCATTCATATTTCGCTTCCACTGTATCACTTTTCATTTCTTTGCTGTACTTTCATTTTTGTTGGTCCATACCCCCTTGGATTACCCATAGGTGTAAAATGTCATGTAGATTTATCACTGGGCAATAAGGAGGTAACACAACTGTACTCTAGCTATTTGTTTTGCACTGTCCAATTGCAATAAACTTTAAAAGAAGGGACACATTGGTCACTGATCATCATATTATTTATGTGGTGATTTATGGATTGAAGAGCTGACAGTGAAGTTTGTACTTAATGTAATTTCTCACAGCTAAATATGGTAACTGAAATTTGAGCCATGTTATTGCAGACTGATGTTAGTTAACTAAACCTTGGTATAAACCGTGATAACTGAAATTTATGCTTGTCAGAATCATGGAAAGTGAGAACTCTGCCTGCAGTGTTCAAAAAAAACAGGTTGTACTGGATTTGGTAAAAATTTTGACAGTGATAAGGGGACTGAAATCTGAGAAATTTACACAATAACAAAGTAGTCCTTCAAAAACACTTTTTTTAAAAGATTTTTATTTTTTATTTTTATTTCTTTATTTTTTTAGATTTATTTATTTATTTGACAGACACAGTGAGAGAGGCACAAGTAGGGGGAGTGGGAGAGGGAGAAGCAGGCTTCCTGCGGAGCAGGGAGCCTGATGTAGGGCTCGATCCCAGGACCCTGGGATCACGACCTGAGCCAAAGGCAGACACTTAATGACTGAGCCACCCAGGCACCCCTAAAGATTTTTATTTTTAAGTAATCTCTACAGCCAACATGGAGCTCAGACTCACAACCAAGAGGTCAGGAGTCATGTACTCCATCGACCAAACCAGCCAGGCGCCCCAAAACTTTTCTTTCTTTGCTCTGCTCCCCTCCCCCTTTCCCCCTTCTTTTTTTAAGTAGGCTTCCCACTGGGCTTGGAGCTCCATGCAGGACTTGAACTCACGACCCTGAAATGAAGACCTGAGCTGAGATTAAGAGTTGGACGCTTAACTGACTGAGCCATCCAGGCGCCCCAACACTTCCTATTCTTTAAAAAAAATAGATTAAGATTAAAGAATTTTAGATAAATTCTTTAAAGAGTAGTGTGTATGTTTGTGTGTGGACTAAGGGCGAGGGTCTAAAAGGAAAAAGTTTTAGCATTTCTTGCACTCTAATATATTTTATAAACTTTATGTATTCTGCTTTTTCTACATTGTTCAGTATTCATCTGATTAAAATCTTTATTTTTGTGATCTGAGTAATTCTTTCTGGCCTGTGGTTTGGTCCTTCTCACAAATCCTCCTCTAGGATGGCTGTGATTGTTGCTTTTTTCATTACTGTAGCAGAAGTGTTAGTGATGTTGTGATGTCTTCATTTGTTTGTTCATATAAATGGAAAAGGAAGAGGCATGGAAAGAATTACCTAAGTGTGAAGGCCTGGCTTATGCTTTTTATGTGCAAATTTTACAGCTGGAGGGGGGGAAACTCCAAAAATGTTTATTGTAAACATTTAAAACATACTGAAGAAGGCATGTGTCATACGATCTCACTGATACAGGGAATTCTTAATCTCAGGAAACAAACTGAGGGTTGCTGGAGTGGTGGGGGGTGGCAGGGATGGGGTGGCTGGGTGATAGACATTGGGGAGGGTATGTGCTATGGTGAGTGCTGTAAATTGTATAAGACTGTTGAATCACAGATCTCTACCTCTGAAACAATACATTATATGTTTAAAAAAAAAAAGGAAGAAGATAGCAGGAAGGGAAAAATGAAGGAGGGGCAATCAGAGGGGGAGATGAACCATGAGAGACTGTGGACTCTGAGAAACAAACAGAGTTCTAGAGGGGAGGGGAGTGGGGAATGGGTTAGCCTGGTGATGGGTATTAAAGAGGGCACATTCTGCATGGAGCACTGGGTGTTTTGCACAAACAATGAATCATGCAACACTACATCAAAAACTAATGATGTAATGTATGGTGATTAACATAATGTAGTAAAATAAAATAAAAAAGAAAAAAAACCATACTGAAGAGTATGAGAAAGAAAAATTGTAAATCACCTGTAGCTCATTACTTGGATACAACCTCTGTTAATATTTTTGTGTGTATCTGTCCCTATGTTCCTTCTTCATACATGTATATACATTCTTGATGAAATATTTTAAAATGGGATTATATGCTTCCTACAAGTGTTTTTCCAGAGTACATACATGTTTTTAAAGTTTTTTTCTTTTTTTAGATTTTATTTATTTACTTCACAGAGAGAGACAGCGAGAGAGGGAACACAAGCAGGGGGAGTGGGAGAGGGAGAAGCAGGCTTCCCGCCGAGCAGGGAGCCCGATGTGGGGCCCGATCCCAGGACCCTGGGATCATGACCTGAGCCGAAGGCAGACGCTTAACGACTGAGCCACCCAGGCGCCCCTAATGTTTTTTTCTTATATAAAATGTACAAAAACTGAATAGAGACTAGACTAAAATGAAGACTGTGTATCATTCAACTAAAGTGATTTCAGTGCATAGGCAAGCAATCTTGTTTCATCCATACCCACCTACTCTTACATTAATCTGAAGCCAGTTCCAGGTAACTATTCCAGCATACATAGTGAAAAATTTTACATTTTGTCAAATTGCTTTCCAGAAAAGCATTATCAATGTATAGGTGACAGAAATAAGATTAAAAAACCTTTTTAAAATTGTAATGTTATGGGTTGGATGCATCTATATATAACCGTTTCCTCATGTAATACAAAAAATCCTAATGAAGTGAATTTGAGCATGCTTATACTCTGGCAGCAAACTTTAAGTTCCTCATCAGTATATCCCTCAGGAATACTGTGACTGTTAGATAGGGTGACCATATAATTTATTGTTCAAGCTAGGATGCTTTTGAGATTCACGGGAGGCCCTGTTAGTAATAATGCCAGTATAACAGGCATAAACTAGGACTGTATTTTGGCACAGCTGGGTTGTATGTCCACCATGTTAGATAACATATATAAGACGCATTTATACATAAAGTGACTATATTACATAGTCAGTAAATGCTGGCTTTTATTAAAGTGTTTATGTATGCCCCTGTATGGATGTGTATAAAAACCTTCCTTTTAAAAGAAGTGCTTTTGAATTGGCAACTCAGAGGCCTAAGTTAACAGTTTTTGTTTCTGTATGTTTTTGGAGCTTACAGTGACCACTCTTTTTAAAAGGAGCTCTAATTTTTATAACTAAGAGGACATTTGCCTTAATGTTTGCAGCTGGAGAATGCTGGAGGAGACCTTAAGGATGGCCGCCACCACTATGAAGGAGCTGTTGTCATTCTGGATGCTGGTGCCCAGTACGGGAAAGTCATAGATCGAAGAGTGAGAGAACTGTTCGTGCAGTCGGAAATCTTTCCCTTGGAAACACCAGCATTTGCCATAAAAGAGCAAGGATTCCGGTAGACCTTACACTTATATTTTCTATGAGATTGAGCTTAGATTGTGGAATTTTTTATTAATTTGCTTGGACACTGAATTTTTTTTTAAAGATATATTTTGAGACAGAGGGGGGAGTGTTCGGGGTTGGGGGAGAGGTGGTGGGGCAGAGAGGGAGAGAAAGTCTTAAGCAGACTCCATGCTAAGTGCAGCGCCCGACCTGGGGCTCTGTCTCAGGACCATTAGATCACTACCTGAGCTGAAACCAAGAGTCAGATGCTTAAACAACTACACCACCCAGGTGCCCTGGGCACTGAATTTTTTTAAATGAATATAAGACATGCAGTGGTTTTACAAAAAATTTTCTTCTATGGTTCTGATTTTAAAAAAATTAAAGGAAAAATAATTTTTAGTTAAAAAGATTGCCTTAATTTTAATTGCACAGTTACAAGAACTTTTCATTTGAGTGTTTTATATGTTTTTTAGGATTTTTGGGTCAGGCTTGAATTTGGCTATTATGGCCATTCATTCATCCCAGAGCATTTGATCAAAGGAATATATACAGTGGCTAGAATACCTAAATGAGAAGAATTCTGTGTCCAATGAGTCTCTTTTGCCTCCTATCCCAAGAGACTAAGTTTCTAAAATACGAAGGTTTCTGAAGTCTAATATAAGGTCTAATTCAACAGCTTACATGCTCAGAACTAGTCAAAATGACAGCCAAATATAATGAAACATTATATTTGTTTCTTCCTTTAACAATTTCTGGTTAATGCTATGCCTTTTCTCATGGAATTGATGGTCTTTGTTTATTGTGTTACCAAAAGCAAACAACTGCAGTTTGTAACTTTAATTGGGTCTTAAACATTAATGCTATATTTCTTCCAAATACAATGTTTAATTTTTCTCAAAAACATAATTTTTTTCCATTAGAGAAGTGGTTAACTTTTAAAGCCTTCATAGACCTGTTTATCCTGTGATTCTTGTTTCTGAAATAGAGTGAATTGGAAAGCAGAAAAGACAGGTTGAAATTTAACTGTCCTAGTCTTAAGATACAGTTAAAAACAGTCATCTCTTTTTATTTATTTATTTATTTTTAAAAAGATTTTATTTATTTATTTGACAGAGAGAGACACAGCGAGAGAGGGAACGCAAGCAGGGGGAGTGGGAGAGGGAGAAGCAGGCTTCTCGTGGAGCAGGAAGCCTGATGCGGGGCTCGATCCCTCAGGACTCTGGGATCATGACCTGAGCTGAAGGCAGATGCCCAACGACTGAGCCACCCAGGCGCCCCAGTCATGTTTTTTTAAACTGTGGAATTTTTAGAGTAAGAAGGGGCCCTTGAGTCTCTCTTACGTGACTGTCTCAGTTTGCCAGCGACAACCAGTTTTAGGGAATCAAAAAACTGGGAGAATTCTAAATGCCTCCCGTCATATCTAAGCTCCTTCATTCCCTTTACCCCAAACAAACAGAAAATCTCCAGCAGACTAACCCAGGCTAAATGTTTAAGAATAGGGTAGCCAAATACTTGGCAATAGAATGCTAATTATTTTTCCTGCCACCTGATTATAAAAAATTCCTAGGTCCTGCTTGTGTCTAGAGGTTCTTTCTGTGTAGGAGTATAGGAACTATAGCCCTGTGGCTTTGCTTATTATAATCCTGTCTGCTGAGATATCTAGTTGATCATCCTTTTCCTAGAATATTAGTATTATGAGAGGAGAGACCTCTTAACCTACTTGTTTTTGGAAATTTGACCTGCTTAAAATTGGTATCTGGAATGCCTTGTGGCTTATTGGCTTTGTAATTGCAGGTTAGTTTCAAAAGAAGTGCAGGGTAGAACTAGAAGAGTGAGTGATTAGCTCTTCTTGAGAGTTATTGAGATAAGAATTTAAGAATTTTCATAATTGGCTTAAGTACTGCTTAGGTTTCATCCTTGACTAAGTCCATTCCCTTTTCTTTTTAATAGTCTTAAGAATCTTACAGTCATGAGTTGTTTAGCAGATTAATGAGGAATGCTGGGCAGTCCCATGGTGGTTATCTTTTATAAAACTAAGTATAATGTACTGAAATTCTAGAGGGCTTGTTTATGTTTTATAGAATTTTAGCTTATGCATTTTTATTTTTATTTTTTTTTAGCTTATGCATTTTTAAAGAGCTAAGTTGCATATCTACCCTTAAGGCTAACACTACACCCCTTTAGGATTGTTATCTTAAAGATGTTACATTTATCATCTGAGTAGGTTGTCTTTAGTCTCTTTTGCAGGAGACAGGCTAACAAACATGATGAATAGCATAATTCATGTTAGCAATACAAAGTTCAAAGAATGGGGCCTTTGAGCTCACTTGAATTGTTATATTTTTTAAAAATGTCCTATCTTGTTGAATAATTTTTATGAATTTGACTATTACATCATTCTTCTGGATGTATTATAAGCCTGTATTTTAGTTTGTTTTTATATGGCAAGCAGCTGCTGATTATAAAGTGAATTGCCTAAATTTGTAAGAAGATTTTGGTTAGATCTTAAAATGCATTTTCCTTTAGAAATGTAGATAAATCAGGATTCCTGCAAAACTCAAACCTAAAATGAGTTTGAGGATATTTTAGATTAAGTGATGAGCATAGGTATGCCTCTATTGTATAAGAGGGCATGTGTGGCAAACTGGGAAGCAGGAGTAGTCTGAAGGTGCAGGTCTCTCTGTGATTCCAGTTGTTTGTAGCCATATGAGAGTGAAGGTCAAGTGCTGCTAGATTTTTTTTCCGCCTCTTCCTAAAGAAAACCTAGAAATCTGGATTTTTATGTAAAATTCGTAATATTAAAATGTTCTCAATCTTTTGAGTGTATGCTGAGGGCCAAATTAGATCTGTCACTGGCCAGGTGAAGAGCATAGGCCTCAGTTGGCAGCCTTTTCCATAACAACTGTTTGACTCCCAAGTTAACCCATCGAATGCTCTGTAAATTATAATATAGTGAAGTTATAATATTGACCTGGGTTCTGAGAGAATGCCATCTGGGCAAAATTCGTATGTTAGCTCCCTTTCCTGGGTCTCAGGTAAAATTGTTGGGAATGTTGGATAGGTTTTCAACAGGCAAAGTTAGGTTATTATTCATATTGTGTCCTCCTTTGTTGTATTTTGCTGTGTCATCCAGGGTCTTTCTGTGACTTGCTTTACTCCTTGCTTCCCGGAAGGCCTGTATTTTCTCCATCTCCCTTTAGAATTCTCATTTACTCCTTCATTAATGCGGAAGACAAAACAAACTCATGCTAAACCCTTACAGCTAGAAACATTAGTATTTATGTATTTGAAGTTTGTACTTATTAACAAGTGAATGTTGCATTGATGGACTTCCACACATTGCAGTAGAGTACAGATGATTGAGCTGTGTAGGAGGCTGGATCTGCTATGGTATACTGAAAACATAACAAAATCTCTGCATCTGTACTGAGTCTCAGTGCTTCAAGGGAGAGAGGGCATGGACTTCGGGATAAAAATTAGCAGTTAGAGGATTCTTCACTGACTCTCTTCCTTAAATCCACAGTGCTATTATCATCTCTGGAGGACCTAATTCTGTGTATGCAGAAGATGCTCCCTGGTTTGACCCAGCGATATTCACTATTGGCAAGCCTGTTCTTGGAATTTGCTATGGCATGCAGGTACATCTGTGAATTTGCCTTAAGAGTTGACTTAATTTATTCTGTTTGTGATTCTTATTGTATTAATATTTTCTGTCTTTAGAGTATTTAGGATATTGTATGAGCTAATTTGTGCATGTTGCAACTGTTCACAAATTGTTATAGCAGTATGGCAGAACCGACCTGAGTGGAAATCTGTTTTTAGAGAAGTAACTATATTACTGCATACAACATAACACTGTCCATTAAAAAAAATTTAGACATTCAAATTTATATGTTACGGAAATAGTACACAGAGCTCATTTATATTTTTACTCAATTCCCTTATTGTTACATTTTTAAAACGATTTATTTATTTTAGAGATAGCATGCCTGCATGCGTGCACAAGCCAGGGGAGGGGCAGAAGGGAGAGTGAGAGAATCTCAAGCAGACTCCATGCTGAGCGCAGAGTTCCAGATGGGGGCGCTTGATCCCATGACCCTGAGCCCTGAGATCATGACCTGAGGCAAAATCAAGAGTCGGATGCTTAACCAACTGAGCCACCCAGGTGCCCCTCTTACTGTTGACATTTTTAACCATTTGAGAGTAAGTTGCACACCTGATGTGCTGTTACTTGTTGTATTTCCTAAGGATGAGAGCTCTCCTATGTAACTGCAGTCCAAATATCAAAATCAGGAAGTTAACATTGATTCAGTTTTGCATCTAATCCACAGACTGCATTCACATTTCACTGTTTGTCTCATTAATGTCCCTTGTAAGTACTGTCTCCAATCTAGGACCATGTGTTATATTTAGTTGTCATGTCCTTTATTTTGGAACCATTCCTTGGTCTTCTCTTTCATGACCTCGACAGTTAAAAAAAAAAAAAAAAGACATTCCAGTTACTTTATAGATTTTCCCTCAATTTTGGTTTATTTGATGTTTTCTCATCGTTAGGTTCAGGTTCTGTTCTTTTGGCAGGAGTAGCACAGAAATGATGCTCTGCTCCTCTCAGAGCAGGTCATTAGGAGGTGCGTGATGTCAGTGTGTGCCATGACAGGTGATATCAGTTTGATCGTTTGGTTAAGGCGGTGTCTGCCAGGTGTCTCCACTGTATCGTTAATGAGTATGCATACCTTGGAGTTGTATCAAAAACATACATAGGGACTGAGGTCTAGATATAAAACTATTCTTCTATAAGTTAAATGTTTAGAAATCTTTTTTGGCTGCTTTGATACCTTTTTAGAGGAGTATAGGTTTATTAGACAAGTAGAATGTGATTACTGAATAAGATGATAGAAGGATAATACTGAGCCAGTAACATGCTAAGTTCTCACTTAGAATCATTTGTTCAATAAGATCTACTTAATAAGGAGGTGGGAATAGAAATAAATACATTTAAGAAAAGTTATCCCTAGTGATTGTAAGCAAAATGATTTTCTAGTTGAGATAACTTTCAACAATGTATCTTACTTAACCACATCGTCTGAAAATTGAGCTAGCTGGGATAGTATTCCCTGGGTAATATAATTATTAATTGACAGATTATAGTATTTTGCCTTTTCTAAAAGTGTCAGAAGCAAGATAGTTTTTTTTTTAAACTCAGAATTCTCTGCTATGATAAGAATAGCCAAATAAATACAATGACTCGATTCACTTGTTTGTGAATGATCTTGATCCCTTTTCCCTTTTGCCCACCTTTTGGCTTTAGCCTGTACTAAATCAGAAGGGAAGACAGGGTCACAATACAAGTGGAGTATCTAATTGTGAGATCCTAACTGACCAAATGGAATTGGTGTTAATTAAAATATCAGCTTTTTAATTTCCTCATGATACTCTGGTCCTCCCTAGTTGATTATTGAGAGTTGTCTATTAACTTCTGATTTCTTGTATATATGGCTTAAGATGATGTGTTCTTTCTCCCAATGACTGAGTTGTTTTAAGTCCTTGGATTGAAGATAATTTGAAATTTTAGTAAGTGGGCAAAACAGAGGGAGTCATTTTTTTTTTTTAAACAATCTGTTTGAGGGGCGCCTGGTGGCTCAGTTGTTAAGCATCTGCCTCCGGCTTAGGTCGTGATCCCAACGTCCTGGAATCTAGCCCCGCAGCAGGCTCCCTGCTCTGCGGGAAGCCTGCTTCTCGCTCTCCCATTCCCTCTGCTTGTGTTCCCTCTCTCGCTGTCTATGAAATAAATAAATAAAAACCTTAAAAAAAAAGAATAATTAAACAATCTGGTTGAAATTGCTGTGCTGTAATGATGAATATTGTACAGAAGGAGGCTGTCTAAAAGGTAGAAAGTGAGCAGACCAGTATATTTTATCTGGCCCTGGAGCATTCAGCGAAGGAAAAAACAATAAAAATCAATGTTCACATAAGAATGAATATTTTTGTTCTTATACTTCATGCAAAAGCAGAATGTTAGGGATCACTGGTCTGTAAAACAGCTTTACCAGATTTCTTGCTAATTGTTCATTATAGTTTTCCACAAATACTGATCCCTAAAAATATGTGATATATGAAGTTCAAAAGCTACAACAATGGATATTTTTTTTCTCTAGGCAACAAGCATTTTCTAGTAAAAGGCTCTTTTTGTCCTGTTAAAAGTTTTCTGAAAAGCCAAGTGGTGATTATGAATTTGACTTGGATAACAACTTTTGGATTTTCTTATATAGTATTCTAATGAATACATTTTCTTAGAAGAGCCTACATCCTGATTGAGTTGAACATTGGAAACTGGCTGGCTTTTTTTTTTTTAATACACCTTTGCCCTCGGATGTAATGTATTTACATAATTTATTGATCTCCCATGCCAGAGTAGTCAGTATTAATCATGTAGCACAACTTATATTAAATGATTTTTAGTATATTGAGGTATTATAACATTCTGTAAGGAAGAGTCTAACAGATATTTTTTTTCAGGACCCGTTATAGTGAAATATGTCTGGAAAATGCTGCCTTAATTTAAGTGCTAGTGACTGTTTCTCTCTTTGCCAGTCCCTCATATAATTGTAAGGCCTAATTTTTCTGTCATTCAGTAGAGATCTTGCGGTAGCCAGAGCTAGGCCTGCTCATGTTAGATATGTAAAACAGTTTGCCTTTATGTCCTCTGAACTTACGTATTAGGACGGTAGAATAGGCTGATCTTGGTCCTTTAGATGAAAATTGTCTTTCCATAAAATATTGGTATAGATGACACCATCTAGCTAATATGTTGTTTTTAAAGGACTAATAATTCTTAGTGATTGTTAGTTGGGTAAGTTTAGCACCAAAGGTCTCACTCTAGTGTATACTTTTGCCCCCAATAGCATCCTGAAATTGTAGTTATTTCAGTGTCTTATGTACCATCTTTCCCATTCACTGGACTCCCTTGTGAGAGCCTTTCTAATAGCTTTCTGGGAATTCTTTGCTTTAGAAGAAAAAAGACTGTCTTGCCCATTGCTCCTTTTATCTCTATATCCCCTCACTCTGTGTAAGAAATAGAATATTAGTAGAACTTTTGAAACTCTCTTTATACTTTTCTCAATTCATGTTCTTCTCTTTTCTTACCAGAGGCAGCACTTTCCCTGGATTTTGTTATTCATTCCCCTTTTTCTCTTTACAGCTTTATATATGTTTATATCCCTAAGTAATATATTTAGTTTTGCCTATTGACCTTTTGTGGACTTTTAAATTGTGTTGAGTTCCAACAGTTTTAGTTAGCTTGATCATTCAGCTGTCTTCTAATTAAGAATAGCAAATTAAGGGAGGTAGAGGTGCACAAGATTCACTGAGAATATAGAAGAAAGCACTTAATTTTTCATTCAGCAACTTTTAATGACTGCTTTGGGCCACATACTTTGTTAGGCCCCTGGGACTGTGAAGAGACCTGAAGACATGGGGGAGAGAACATGGTCTGTTTTGGCAATTACTCTAGCTCGAATGGCTGGAGTGCAGAATGAGGGGGAAGAAGAGAAGTGACTAGAGGCGGGGGGACTGGGTGGATTGTAGCAGTGTTCCTAAACTGTGTGATAGTTAATGTGCTGCAGAAAGTGTTTGATAACCTGGGTTTGTTGTTTGGGAAATACTGGGCTAAGTGGGTTAGCAAGTTTTTTTCCGGCTGAACTTAACCCAAACCTTTATTGCAGTAAACTTTATTGTGAATGTCTTAAGAGGAGAATGTAGAGGGCAACATTTGCTGATGGTTTTGAAGGCTATTCCACTGTGCATTATAAGAATGAACACTTATTTAGCCCTCTGCCTGCTTTTTTATCGGGAGCTGGGTCAACTTGTATCTCGCATGGTTATGGCAGGTATCTTAGGACAACTGTGTGAAACAGATACACGGAGATGAATCATAGTGATTACATCAAGGCAGAATTAACAATTGTAGAAATTTTGTGTGTGTTTATTTGGTGTTGGGAGGGGGGAGTCTGTAGGTGTATGGGATTTATACAAATAAATTTAATTGAAAGGCCAGATTTTCTTGCTTATGCTCTCTCCACAACATAGCCTTCTGCAGGCTTTCAGACTGTTCCTTTGGGGCCAAAGGTTAAATCACTTGGAGAAATTTGTACCTGCCTAGTTCTAAGCTCAGAGTACCTTTTAAAATGCTTTTAAATTAAACTGAAATTGTAGTTATTTCAGTCTTATGTACCATCTTTCCCAGTACTTCAGATGTAAGTATTAAATATCTATTTTTAACAAATGAATTAAAGTACACTAAATGGAAAATCTGCCAGTGTTTAATAGAAATTAACCTCAGGTCAGATTTCTAATCTAGTTTTGTTTTATAACTATTCCTCTTAATAACTGTATAATTACACATAATAATACCAAGCTATCTACATTTATCTAACTCTTTATTTTGGGGGCACAAACATAGCAGATATCCTGAAAACAGGAACATAAATTATTAAATTAGCATAATAAAATGATTGGGTAATTCTTTTGATTCATATTAATGTCAATTTATTTTCTCTTTGAACAGATGATGAATAAGGTATTTGGAGGTACTGTGCACAAAAAAAGTGTTAGAGAAGATGGAGTCTTCAGTATTAGTGTGGACAACACATGCTCGTTGTTCAGGTATTATAGATATTTTTAGATGCCTAAGAACAGTTAGTAGAGTAACTGACTTAAATTTGGGATTGTTATTCCTCAAAATTAGAGATTCCGTAATTCTTAGACAAATTAAGGCCGTACTAGTGGCCGGAGGTGTAACTGTCATATTTGTTTTCCATTTGAGTGTCAGGGTGGCAGAGGATGGTGGTGATGCTAAGTAGGGATAAGGAAAGCACTTATGACATAACTTAAAAGCACCTGTGCAGTCTTGGATCCGTGTTTGGGATTGCATACTGTGATGCCAACATTTATAGTTTTTCCTTTTTACTCTTTGGAATGTGATTCTAAACATTAATGTGCCAGATGTTGCAAATGGATAATGTTTTAAACTATCTTGCATCTACCAAATGTGTTTGTGTATCTCTTGCCTCATGTTTTTGCTGGGTACTTAGCACACAACCAATTTGTTGGACTCATTATTAAATATATGTTTCCCTCCTGCTCACTTTCTCCACGTTGAGCATAACTGTACCTAGCATACTATCTTTTAATATAGTGAATGTATTAATTGGTTTTTGTTCTAGGTAACAACAGATTAGGTGCTATAGCTCTAACCTATTTAAAAATGGGTAGATGAGCTATTCACTCCCTTCCTGGAACCATTTATCTTCTGCTTGACTTAAAAAAAACATGACTGCATTTTCATTCAGTTTTCCAGAGGACCAGAAGCTTTCTTTTTTGGGAGTTTTCCATGTTTTGGGTAAAGCTCATTTTAGTGGACTGTTGATAGGGTTACTCACTTGCTTTTTTTTTTTTAATTTTTAAATAATCTCTGCACCCAGTGTGGGGCTCAAACTCACAACCCCAGAATCAAGAGTAGTATGCTCTGTTGACTGAGCCAGCCAGGTGCCCCCTGACTTGCTTCATTTTTGACTTAAATTTCATTTTTATTTTTTTGTTTTTGTTTTTTTCTTTAAAGATTTTATTTATTTATTTGACAGAGAGAGACACAGTGAGAGAGGGGACATAGCAGGGGGAGTGGGAGCGGGAGAAGCATGCTTCCCGCCGAGCAGGGAGCCCGATGCGGGGCTCGATGTGGGGCTCGATCCCAGGACCCTGGGCTCATGACCTGAGCCGAAGGCAGATGCCTAACGACTGAGCCACCCAGGCGCCCCTGTCTTTTTAAAAGATTTGAAGTAATCCTACACCCAACAGGGTTCAAACTTAGAACCCTGAGATCAAGAGTTGCATGTTTTACCGACTGAGCCAGCCAGGCACCCCTTAAATTTCATTTTTACTTTAAAACTACGTTTCCCCCTTACTGCACTAAATCTATAAAATTTATAAAACTGATGTCGGTTAGTGAGCCACAGTTACCCCTTTTTCTGTGTGTGTGAATCCAGGAAATTTACTTCTATCTATTTATAATTGAAGTATAGTTGACACAGTGTTAACATTAGTTTCGAGTGTACAACATAGTGATTCCTCAAGTCTATCCATTATGCAGTTACTTCTTATCATTTCTTTTAATTGTAATTATTTTTAGTTATAGGTATGTTTTGTTAATATGCTTGTGCCTAAATTAATTTCTAATGAATAGTTTTCTCCAAATTGGACAGATCAGAAGTTTTAAAATCCAAGTTATAAACTTATTATCTGAAATGGAGATATCCCAGTTTATACACAGAACTGGCTATGGCTGGCTCCTCTTTAGTTTTGAGGAAGAGCAAAAATAAGTATATCTGTTTGAAGATTCTCATTTTCAAAGGAAGATTAATTAAAAAACACATGGTGGCTCAAAATACTCTTATGAGCTGAAGCTACTCATTACCAAAATGCATTTGAAATCTAGTACTTATTCCACTTCATAATGGAGAGGTTTTGCTTACATTCTTCTGTATCTAAAGTGACTAGCCTTGAGAACCATTTTAGGAATCAGGGTGGTATGTGATACTGCAGAGGCTTTATATCGAAAGATCTGGTTAAAAAAAATTTTTTTTTGCATTTTTAAAAAAATTTTATTATGTTAATCACCATACATTACATCATTAGTCTTTGATGTAGTGTTCCATATTCACTGTTTGCATATAACACCCAGTGCTCCATTCAGTACGTGCATCACCAGGCTAACCCATCCCCCCAACCCGTCCCCTCTAGAACCCTCAGATTGTTTCTCAGAGTCCATAGTCTCTCATGGTTCGTCTTCCCCTCCAATTTTCCCCCCAAGATCTGGTTAAAATTTAAAGTTTTCTGTCTTCCTAGTTGTAAAATTGTGGAACTCATTCACAACATACATTAATCCTAAGCAACAACAATGACAGCAGTAGTAAACCTGAAACATCCATTTGGCTTTAATGTAGTTTATTTTCTTGCTTTATTTTTAATTTACTTTTTTTTTTTACTTCTTAATATTTAATATTCAGTCCTCTGTCAGATTTTCTCATAATGTAAGAAATATCTTTTTATAGTTGATTTGTTTGAATCAGGGTCGAGAGAAAGTCCACATGTTGCATTTGATAAATGTTACATCTTCTTTAACCTATGCCTTTAACGTGTTTGGCATGAGAAATAGAGGTCCACATTGCTACTGGGTTGTCTTTGTTTCTAGGCCCTTTCAGTGAATAAATTTAGTCAATATGTATTCTTTTAGAGAAAACAAAATCCCTGTATACTCCTATTTCCATTTAAAATGAAAGGTTTTTTTTTAATATTTATTTGAGTTTATGGGGTTTTATCTAACAACTTTGATTTTTGTATCTCCTTACTCTGAGGCTGAAAACCTCAATTCCTAATTATTTAATATTTGTTTTAACCTATAACATGCATGTATTTACTGTATATATAGCTGCAAAATAACAATGTCAGTATTAGTACTTTTACTTTCTGATATAAAATTACTGAATGTTTAGATCTCTGAAATGCCTTCTCTTCTTTAGATAAATCCTAATAGAGAAAAAATGTTGAAATTATTATTTTGTAGCTTCTTGAAATAATTTTTTATGCATGTGGTTATACCACCAACTTTTAAATATATTTTTTTCGGTTTTCAATTTTTACAGATTGCCTTTTTTGAGATTTAATACTCCTTTTGGCTTTATTTATAATGCACAGAATAAATTTAAATTCTAGCAGTGTTGCACTGCTACATAGTTTTTTTTCTATTTTATTGATTTACACATATGGTGAGTTAGTATTTTAAAGGAAAAGAACACACTAGTTATAAGATGAATAAGTTCTGGGGATCTAATGTTCAGGCATGGTGACTACAGTTAACAACTGTCTTGTATACTTAAAAGTTGCTGAGAGTAGATCTTAAATGTTCTCCCCATACACATAAAAAAATGGTAACTGTGATGTATGTGTTAACCTTATTGTGGTAATTATTTCATTATATATATATCAAATCATCATGTTGTACATCTTTAACTTACTATTACATGTCAATTATATCTCAGTAAAGCTGGAAAAAAATAAAGCATAAGATCCCATTGACCATGTCTTTAATTAAGATATTTCTGTGTTGTGTTTTATTTTTTGTATGTTTAGGGGTCTTCAGAAGGAAGAAATTGTTTTGCTTACTCATGGAGATAGTGTAGACAAAGTAGCTGATGGATTCAAGGTTGTGGCACGTTCTGGGAACATTGTGGCAGGTGAAAATTTTAAAACTTTTGCAGATTTCATTTTAAAAAACTTCTCTAAAGAGTCTAAGAATATGTTTCTGTATGAGGTACTGTTATTTTTTTTATTTTTAAAAGATATTGTAAATGTCATCGGATCAACCATTAATTTATGAAGGGAATTTAATACTAGATTATTTAGAAGTCACTTACTGGTTTGCTCTGAAATACTTTAAAAAATGTTCATTCTAATAAAAGTTCTCCAGATGTAAAACACTACTTTTACAGCTCAGGAAAAATTTGAGAATGGTCTATTTTTCTAGTGTGCTTTGTTCATAATTGGGTTTTTAAATGCCTTTCTTAGGTATACATAGGCATATATCTTGGACATCTGTGAAACACCAGACTAAGCACTCAGGACATTTCTCTGAGGCAGGGTTGGCAAACTGTGACCTGTGGGTCAAATCTAGCCTATAGCCTGTTACGTTATTAAAGGGTTATAATAAAAGACAAGGACTGTATGCGTATGTTCCACAGAGCCTAAAATTTTTATGATTTAGCCCTTTGTAGAAATTATGCTAATCTGTACTTTAAAGCCATTTTTATTCTCTTCTTTTTTGAGGAAGAGGAATTGATTTTCTGGCAGTTTGATTTTTTTTGACTTGCTTATTTGAATAGTTGTTATGTAAATAATTATCAATAATCCTGGAAGTCAGTAAAAAAAAAAGTGGATTTATCAATAAAGTTCTTTTTGTTTGAAATGCCACACCTCAACAGTAAGTTGAAAAAAGATTTGTCATGGATAAACTGAATTGAGTAATTTGCCTGCAATTACTTAACATAAGAATAGGAATGATCCAGAATGGTTTTCATATTGAAATGTTTTTACTTAAGATTAACAGTGGTAGATGGCATATGTATTTGTATTCATTCAAGCAATATTTGTGTGCTTTGTGCCGGTAACATTTCCAGGTGCCAAGGGTAAAGTAATGAACATAGTGGACAAAAATCTCTTTTAACATTCCAGTTTGGGGGGAGGGATGGGACAGCTAATACACAAACAAATACAGAATATGTCAGGTGTCAGATAGTGTTTAAGTACATTGACAAATACAGGAAGAGAAGAGTATTGCAGAATATGTGTGATTAAGGTTGTTACTCTTTTATATAGGATATTCAGGGAAGGTATTCCTATAAAATGATACTGAACATGAAGTAAGTGCTGACCCTTCTGGATATTTGGGGGAAGAGGAAATAGCAGTACAAAGCTCCCAGGATGGGACCATGTTTGAGGAACAGCAAGGAAGACTACCTGGTTGGAGTAGAGTAAGCATGGAGGAGAGTGGTAGAAGATGAGATTAGAGGGATGGTCGGGGGCCAGGACACAGGCCATTTGAGGCCACTATGAAATTGTTGGTTTTACTCATGATCTAATTTCAGGATTACCTTGGCTATAGTGAGGAGAAAAGAGAAAGGGTCAAATGTAGAAGTAGGGAGATCAGCTAGGAATCTACTGCAGCAATCAGGAGAGGAGACAGCAGTGTAGGGAATAGTGTGGTAGAGGTGGAAATGGTCAAGAGTGATTGTTTTCTCATATAGATCTTGTACGTATTTTGTTAGATTTATACCTTAGTATTTCATTTATTTGGGTGCTAATTGTTTTTAATTTCAAATCCCGCTTGTTCATTGCTGGTATTTAGGAAAACAGTGAACTTTTGTGTATTAACCTTACATCCTACAACCCTACTGTAATCACTTACTAGTTCCTGGAGTTTTTTTGTTGATTTTTTTTCCAGATTTTCTATATAGATGATCATGTCATCTGTGAACAAAGTTTTATTTCTTCTTTCTCAGCCTGTATACCTTTTACTTCCTTTTCTTATTGTGTCAGTTAGGACTTTTCTATGGTGTTGAAAAGCAGTGGGGAGAGGGAACATCCTTGCCTTGTTCCTGATCTTAGTGGGAAAGTTTTGAGTTTCTGTTTAGGTATGATTTTAGCTGTAGGTTTTTAGAAGATAATCAAGTTGAGGAAGTTCCCCTATATTCCAAGTTACAGAGAGTTTTTATCATGAATGGGTGTTGGATTTTTTTCAGATGCCTTTTCTGCGTCTATTGAATCAGATCATGTAGCTTATAAAACTGATAGAGGCCTATTGACATTATCTATTTCTTGTGTGAGTTTTGGTAAGTTGTGTCTTTCAAAGAATTGGTCCATTTCATCTGTGTTATAAAATTTGTGGACATAGAGTTAGTCATAGTATTCCTTTATTATTTTAATGTCCATGGGACTTGTAGTGATGTCTCCTCTTTCATTTCTGACATTAGTAATTTGTGTCCTCTCTTTTTCTTAGTTAACCTGGCTAAAGGCTTACCAATTTTATTGATCTTTTCAAAAAACCAGCTTTTAGTTTTGTTGTTGGTGGTGGTGGTGGTTGCTGTTGATTTCCTGTTTTAAGTTTCATTGATTTAATTTTTATTATTTCTTTTGCTTACTTTGTATATAATTTGCTCCTCTTTTCTCATTTCTTTTTTTTT